CCCCCCACATTTCTTCAAATTTAAATACATTAAATTAATAAATTATTTAAATTGTAAACTTTACATCATGGTATTATTTGTTGCACTTAAATCTACAGTCTAATCTGAAGTAATGAGAATCACCACCAAGTTAAAAAAAATTGAGAAAAATGTGCTTAACTGGCATTAAAATAATGTAAAAATATAAATGTTATGCTTCATGCAGTGTGTATATATATATATACTAATTTACATATATCCCCAAAATCAATCATTCTATCAGCCAATTTCCCCCCCCCCCCATTTCTTCAAATTTAAATACATTAATTAAATTAATAAATTATTTAAATTGTAAACTTTACATCATGGTATTATTTGTTGCACTTAAATCTACAGTCTAATCTGAAGTAATGAGAATCACCACCAAGTAAAAAAAATTTGAGAAAAATGTGCTTAACTGGCATTAAAATAATGTAAAAATATAAATGTTATGCTTCATGCAGTGTGTATATATATATATATATATATACTAATTTACATATATATATTTATTTATTTATCGTTCTTTCTTTATTCGGGATGATCTAGGCATGTTTTCGGGATATTAGTAGAACAAGGAATCCCGCGAAAAGTATGTTTTTTGCGCCATCTGATGGTTGGACAGATTTTTAACTCTAGCTCCCATCATGCATCAGTTCCGACGCTTACACAGATGCTCTGCTTTTACTTTGTGGAAGTTTTCAAAAGTGGCGACTTAATGTTATTTGACATTGTGCGGTTGTATTGACTCTCCATACAGTAAACTGACATCCAGTCTGTCGGTACTGTGGTCTCCTTGAGAAGGTTAACGTTGCTATAGCTACAGGTATTTACAGTGCTGTCATGATGTGCTTTCCGAGAGCTTCTGTCGTATCGTTTAATGCTTAACCTCGATAGATATGTCGGTTGTACGCTTACAGCTGGGTCAGTGTGGGAATCAGATAGGACACGAGCTCTTCAGTGATGCCAGTGGACCAAACAGAAAGAAGTACAAGCAGTGCAGTGATGAGAGATTCTTTTATGAGAGATCTACTGGAGGTAGGTATTAAAAAGGTCTTAAATTTAACTTGTTCAAGTCTGCAGAAACCCTGATTGTGTTTAACGTGGCAAAACGCATGCAAGAAGGAGACCAGAGTTTGTGAACTGCAGCATTTTATAGACAAACTGAAAAGTTTTATTCTGTATAAATGTAACCCATCTTAATAGATCACATTTTTTCGCTTAAATAAACAACTGAATCCAATGAGAAAATGGCAAGCAGAAGAAGCCTATTACAGACTAATAGACCTAGAAAACAAATCAAGAGTTAAAGAAGAAAAGCTAAATGTTTCAGTTAGCCTAAATATGTTCACAAATGATCTGCTTACTTAGCCTAATAAACTAGGACATAACTCATTAGCTATTCAGATCCATTGAACACTGCAGAACACAATCATTAGTTAGTAGCCTAAATAGTTCAGGTAAACATTTCTATCACAATATTCAGCCTCAAAATATGCAGATGGTGACTAAGCCCAAAATTTCAGGCAGCCTATTAAACTGATGTTGCCATATGACTTACAGTCAACACCAGTCTGATAAGCTACCTGACAGAATGGGACACTTACGACTGAATGAGCCCAACTCACTGAAACAGGACACTTCTTATAGCTCATATATGTGTGATTAGACAGACAGAAGGATAGACAGACAGACAGACAGATAGAATACCTTCCACATACCTTTTTTTAGGCCACATCCTCCAAATTCTGTCATCCATTGGTCTGAACCCAGAGAACCAATTTTTCATTATGTATTTTTATAACATAAAATGCAAATGTAACAACAGATGTATTAATGAATTTAATGTCAAACTAATTATGTAACAATAGTTCTGAGGGAAATCAATTATCTGCACAAATACTTCAGCCCAAAATAAGAGGAGAGTATGGATCAACTTATAGTTTTAGTTCAAAATGCACAAACATATGCAAATATTACATCTGAATTTTCTTGGGTTAAAAGTTACATCCACTAGTTTGTGACATTTTGGTTTAAGACCAGAGAATAAACATCATGTGCGCATAGTCAAAACATTATTTTACAAGATGTGCAAACTATTTAGAAACCACGATGATCTGAGTTGATATTGCTATCCTCTTTAAACAGTTAAAGAAATACAAAATGACATCAATATCGAATTAAATAAAAACTGTCCCTGAAAATTCCAATCACAAAACCGCCCCTGCCCATCCATACCTGTATGTTAGAAATTAAATCAATCTATCGATTAAGAACTGTATTCACTTCAATGGAAGCATGACCTCCAAATGTTGCATAAGGCATTGCAACAAATATGACTCCACACAGCCTGTTAACTAGACTGCCTTGGTTCTGTAAAGACAATCTCTAAATGTTAAATCTGATTTTAAATAGCCGAGCACACTACAGACAAATGAAGAGGGACTCCACCTAACTAAAGGGATCTGAATGAACATTAACATACAGAAGCGCACATAAATCAGTGCTCATGTAGCAGTTTTAGCTTAAATATTTCATCGGTTCCGAAACAGGAGCGTGAGATGGTTTTCTGTGAGTCCGTCATTTTGTTTTCTCTTCTGAGCACTTCTTCTGCTGGAGACGCTTGGCGTAGCTCTGTGCCATGGAGCTAATGATGGACAGAATAAAATAGCACACCATGACCAGCACCACTTTCTCAAATACCCACGAGAGCCAGCTTTCACCCTGCAGGAAAAAGACAAATTATATATAAATACATAATTTTAAAAAATGACTCCGTGAGGACTTTTGGGCCACATTAAATTTCTTTCATATTTTTAGAATCAAGGAATATCTTTAAAAAAATAAAAACAGAATTATTTACAGATTTTTAAATTTGTCTTTCATATGTTCATAAATTTGTAATAAAGAAATTTGGGCTTTATTATATTTCTATTTTTATTATATTTCTCATTATTTTAAAACATTACTTAATGAATCAGAATTACATTTTTAGAATTAAAAAAACACCATTAGAAAAAAAAGAAATTAACTTTTAATTTTTAGTTGTTCACATATATATATATATATATATAGTTTTTTTTATTTTTTTATTTAAGCATTAAAACAATCAGAATTACTCACGATTTTTGGGCCAAATTAAATTAGCCTTTAATATTTTTAGAATCAAGTAAAAGGTTTCTAAATAAAATAAAAATGTGGGAATGAAATTGAATGGGAGTAATAAACAATTTTTTTATATATTTATCACATTAAAAAAAATGCAATTAAATAAATGAAATGAGAGGACATCTATTAATTCTTACTGCTGCTGCTCCATCGCCCGCTGGGTTATGAAGCTTGGCTCTCTGGGCCTCCAAGTACTCCCTAAAAGGTTTCTGAAGAGATGCTCCGATTCCAGGGATAATACTGTCCCAAAAAATAAAGATATGATTAGCAAAGCCTTACCAGGAACTGAAGCCGCCAGCAGTCCACTAGATTCCTTCACTGAAGCCTCCAGCACAATGAGACAGAAGCTCTCTGAACCCTCACTTATAGCAGCCAGGCTTCTGTAGGAACTGCTCTAAAGCAATTAATGAGGAAGTGACTCAATATTGTGTCATCACTGCAATGTAGAAAGAACCGCCTAGTTTTGGGTGGGCGTGAATGTCAGTGAAACCAAGCCATCATGTAGGATCAATTATAATACTTCTGCACCACATATCTTCAGTTTCAGATGCAATTATCATATCTTTATTACATCGAAAAGCGCAGAAATACTATTGAAAGGAACCACAATATGAAGTCTGAACGTTACAGGTCTCACCACAAGAAAACTCCAACAGGCTGATGATTAACAACCTCAAGTTTGAGCGGCACATCGAATTCATGCGATGAAACTCGTAATTATGAAGTGCTTTCGATGTGGCTTGATTATAAAGCTACAACTGTCGCGCCTCATTCAGAGATGACTAGTAGTTTCATTTGTTCTTTTGCGTTCCAACATGGAGACCACATCTCTACTTTTGAGTCACTCTGCTACATCATCTCAATTCTGACTGCATCCCCTGCTAAACTCACAGACATCACCATAAATGGTGAAGATTTCTCATGCTTACTAATAAGTGGCTTTAGTATGTGATGCAAATGTAGTGTTGGTGTACCTCAAGGTCTCATTTCACCCTACAATCAAATGAAAAGCATTACAAAGATGATCATAAACAGTCTTAATAGTCAACTACAGGTTTTTAACAGTTTTTAAATGGCAATTAAGCACATCTTCCTTCACCCAAGGCTTTAACTTTGAGCTCTGATGTACTTCAATGTCAATGTCACGACAGAGAAACAAAAAAACCTTAATGGTCTTAAAATAGGATCAATTTACGCAATATAATTTCTTCTTTCTTTATGATTTTTAGGTGAAATGTAACCTGGCCGGATTGAGCAGTACAGAGGAACAGAAACTATAGATGATTCAGACTAAACCATGCTAAGAACCGGACTGTGTGAAAGGGGTTTGCAAGCAAGCATTAAAAAAAAGCAAGCCACAGCTCATGAAAGAGTTCAATGAACCCTGCTAGATCCTTTTTTTGGTTTCCTTTTGTGCATTTACATGTCACAATTACATTTCTTTCTTATAGGACAAGAAATTAATCTTTATTTCCATCTATACACTACTACTCATAAGTTTTTTTTATGTTTTTAAATGCTCACCGAGGCTGGATTTATTAGATCAAAAATGCAATAATATTCTGAAATATTATTACAATTTTAAAAAGCCATTTTATATTTGAATATATTTTAAAATGTAATTTTTTTCAGTGAGGTAAATCTGAATTTTTAGCATCATTACTCCAGTCTTCAGCGTCACATGATTCTTCAGAAATCATTCTAATATGCTGATTTGATGCATTTCTTATCATCAATGAAAAGAAAAATGTGTGGCTTATTTCTGCAATACATATTTTTTCAGGATTCTTTGATAAAAATATTTTTATAACATTATATATGTCATTTTTTACCAATGTAATGCATCATTACTGAACAGAAGTATTAAATTTAGTGCTGTCAAACGATTAATTGCATCCAAAATAAAAGTTTTTGATTACATGTGTACTGTGTATATTTATTATGTATATATAAAGACACACATACAGTATATATCTTGAAAATATTTACGTATATATTTATATTCATAAATTACCATGTCACAATTACATTTCTTTCTTATAGGACAAGAAATTAATCTTTATTTCCATCTATACACTACTACTCATAAGTTTTTTTTTATGTTTTTAAATGCTCACCGAGGCTGGATTTATTAGATCAAAAATGCAATAATATTCTGAAATATTATTACAATTTTAAAAAGCCATTTTATATTTGAATATATTTTAAAATGTAATTGTTTTCAGTGAGGCAAATCTGAATTTTTAGCATCATTACTCCAGTCTTCAGCGTCACATGATTCTTCAGAAATCATTCTAATATGCTGATTTGATGCATTTCTTATCATCAATGAAAAGAAAAATGTGTGGCTTATTTCTGCAATACATATTTTTTCAGGATTCTTTGATAAAAATATTTTTATAACATTATATATGTCATTTTTTACCAATGTAATGCATCATTACTGAACAGAAGTATTAAATTTAGTGCTGTCAAACGATTAATTGCATCCAAAATAAAAGTTTTTGATTACATGTGTACTGTGTATATTTATTATGTATATATAAAGACACACATACAGTATATATCTTGAAAATATTTACATGTGTTTACGTATATATTTATATTCATAAATTATATCACATATATATTTAATATATAAACATAACATTTTTCTTAAATATATACATGCATGTGTCTGTATTTATATATACATAAATATACATAGTACACACACATATATCATGTAAACAAAAACTTTTATTTTGGATGCGATTAATCGCGATTAATCGTTTGACAGCACTTATTAAATTCTTTAAAAAAAAAATCTTGCTGACCTCAAAACTTAAACATTAATGTGTATGTATATTTTTCTCTCAATTTTTTTATTCACTGTGCATGAGTCATTAAATTATTAATAATACAAAAAAAACAAAAACTTTTAATTACCACTTATAAAGCCAAAAGCAAACAAACCATCTTCAGAATGTGCACAACCACTATAATTTCATGCATTCTTGATTCATGTAGCTGTTATTTATTCGCTATAATGTTTAGCTTTGTTTACACAGGGTGTCCATATTCATCTCACGCTGGTGTCGTTACTCACCCGATCAGAGAGACCATCTGCTCCACTATGTGCTTGCTGAATGTTATGATAACAAATAGTTTCTGTAGAGAAGCAAAAAGTAGATAAACATTGTCAGACAATGAATCAACCGCACGTTCCTCAAGGCGGCGGCTGCATGCAGCAGATCTTATGTTTCGTGTCTTTAGGAGACAGCGAGACAATAACTCTGTGATGAGACATGTGACACCCGGTGAGATCACTGACTCGCTCATGCTCATGATTTGATCATTTGGATGAAATAAGCAGACCTGAAGACATCAAATGCACCGCTGTCTAGAATCTGCTTAGTCAACATTTAAAACTCCCAAGGAGCTACATGCAAAGGTGTGTCTTTGATGATCTAGTGGCACCAGTCAACTGAAAAAGTACTTTATGGGAATTATCTCTTTAATTATGACTCACTCAGAAAGCAAAACACTTCCGTTTAGAAGAAGTGTTGAACAAATATGTAACATATTTGTTTTCATACTCTTTACATACCTGAATGTGCATCTTAATAATGGCCTTTCCGATGAGAGTCGCTCCAAAGAAGGTCCAGAATGGAATCAGGAAATGACCACAGGTGATTCCAGCCAGGTCAAACAAGGGATTTGGAATCTGAGAAACATTGTAAGCATTGGTAAACACTGAAAGATAATATACTGGAAAATCAATGTGAAACTCAGTACCAAGTATTGCATTAAACCCAGTGAACGCAGAACATTAACTGCTTATTCACACTGGATATGTTACTGTAAAGCATTTACATTTGAAATCTGTAATTATGAAATAGGCAAAAATAAAGACATTTTATAAAAAAATGATAGAGGTAAGTAAATGAAGAGACATACTCCATTCATAATATATTAAAAAAATAAAAGGTAATTGTGACTTTCTCTCTCAATTCTGAGTTTACATTTTGCAATTCTGGTTTTTCTTCTCTGAATTCTGAGTTTGAATCTCACAATTTTTTTTTTTGTTTCTGTTAATTGCAAGATTATTTCGGTAAGCCCCTCCCCTCGAACGCAGATGAGCCAATGGCAGTCGAGTATCAGTTGCACAGGGAGCGGAACTCGGACATCTTTAGGTTTAAGCGCCATAGAGAAACATTGGAAGATCTGAAGCACTCAACGGTTTGATGGCGTTTATGCTACAAAAATGGAAAAAACGATGTGCACTGATTCAAGGTATCCTGAGAGGATAGGCAATAGAATTTATTACATTTCCTAAACCCAACCAGAACAGCAAAATGTCCCTAAGCATTCAACCCCAATCCCAATGAAGAAAAAAACGTTCATTTTCTGGTTGTAATACTCTCATTAAGTTACAATGTTCAGCTGCTCAAGTAGAACGTTAATGTCATCTTGCGTTTCAGCAAGGTATCTCTGGCTAAAACCAGCTAACGTTAAAGTTAGTGAGTCAATGCTATTACAAACCTAAATAGCGAACAGTTCTCACGTCATGTACAGTGTAGGTCAAAAACACAAACGAAGGTCTACATTTCAGTGCATCTCCATATTAAACTGGTTAAATGTACATTAATTTAATCGTACCCTGCGATACATGAACAGTGTTGATCCTGCGTGTTGTCATCCGTGATTGTGACGCCTGTAACATGAGACTTCTCCCGCTTGCATTGTGATTTGTAAACCCTCCCTTCGAGTTACCCACCGTATTTATTTTTAAATATTTTATATATATCCCTCCATGATATATTTAATTCCCACTTGAATGGTGGCCCTTCTGTGTCCAAAATTGTTCAAAAACATTGTGGGACAAGGTTTTCACACTGACAGCTGTCACTGGAAGACAGTGAGCAACTAAGGGGGTCGGGGCTTAGCGATAAGTCAATTCAGACTTTTCTTCTCAGAATTGAAAGTTTATTTCTTGAAAGTCTTGAATATCTCACAATTCTGTGTTAATATCTCAGAATAGTGAAAAAAAAAACAGAAATGTGGGATAAAATGGGAAAAAACGTTCAAGAAAGTTACTTACGGTGATTTGTAAACCCTCCCTTCGAGTTACCCACCGTATTTATTTTTAAATATTTTATATATATCCCTCCATGATATATTTAATTCCCACTTGAATGGTGGCCCTTCTGTGTCCAAAATTGTTCAAAAACATTGTGGGACAAGGTTTTCACACTGACAGCTGTCACTGGAAGACAGTGAGCAACTAAGGGGGTCGGGGCTTAGCGATAAGTCAATTCAGACTTTTCTTCTCAGAATTGAAAGTTTATTTCTTGAAAGTCTTTAATATCTCACAATTCTGTGTTAATATCTCAGAATAGTGGAAAAAAAAACAGAAATGTGGGATAAAACGTTCAAGAAAGTTACTTACGGAGGCACAAGCAAGAATTCCAAAAAATCCCACTTTCTGCACCATGTTTTGCACTGCAAGCTTGGCTCTTGTTGCAAAATCCTGTAAGAAATTTGACAATTTTAACATTTAGGTAAAAAAAAAAAAATAGATGTTTGGGCTTGACATAGACAATTGATCTTAGGATTCACCACTCTACATGACTTTTTACTACTGCTATATAAAATTGACTTTATACTATTTGAAACAATTTATTTAAAATCTAAAATCATATCAAAAATATTAAATAATTAGGAACTATTTGTATTTTATTATAATTATTTTTTTATATTTAAATAAATTATTCATTGTATATTGTTTTAGAACAATTTATGAAGTAAACTTTCAGCTAAATTACAAAGAAATAAAACATAAAAAAATATTTTTTTTTATATTTTGTAATATATATATATATATATATATATATATATATATATATAGCTTTTTTTATCATACATAATTCAATAAACATTTTTATTTATTTTTTTTTTAAACAGAGGTGGTGGCATCATACTTGTTGCAGGGTTTGAAATAAGTCCACAAAATTTTGTGTGACTGGTTTTTACACTTGGCAAGATTTTTGACTTTCAAGAGTGCCTTAAAGTGAGCAGCTTTAGTACTTGATGAGGAAAGACTGCACTGTGAAAACACTCACCCACATGCAGGCCTCCAGGCGAACCTTCGACATGATGGTCCATAATGAGATGCTCTCCTGCAGGACCTCCTCCGGACACACTATCTGGGCTGGGTAGGGCGGCTCGGGGAAATTCACAGAGCCACATTCATATGCAGCCAGGGTGACAGAAGCTATGTGTGGACCCTGGAGGAAATGATGCAATCACATGCTTACAGACTGAAATAATACTTCACGTGAGCATCAACATTTCTTTTCCATGAGCGCTGTCACATGCACAGCTTGATACATTTCTAAGACTAGTACCTCACAAGTAAAATAAACAATTGTTCGTTGACCAAGTACATAAAACTACCTCAAAAGCACTTGTGGTTCAAATGCAACCGCAAAAAACTTGTGACATCAATGCAGTGCGATGGAAAAACCACAACACCTACTGAATGACAATTCATTTGCTAAGTGAAAACAGACATTGATGTCATTCATTCCCACAGTCGGTCTGTCCGTGGGAGATGATACGTGGGAGAGGAGACTGGACAATATACCATGTCTAGCATTTTTTACCTCTGATTAACCTTGCATAACCGAAGGAGGCAAGAATGACTCAGGTGGTACCATTCAGTGGACAGATCCATCCAAATCAACCTTAATCCAACAGAAAATACCATACAGATGCATTAAGTGATACGGAAACCTTTATTTTTTCACATCAAACGTTGCTTTATGATGACCATAAAGCAACAAGATATCCAAAACCTGCATTAAAAAGCCTGTTAAACCTAAACCCAGTCTAAATATTGATGTTAGTCTTGTTACTCTGCTGACTGTTGGGATCTTTACAGGCGGAGGTGATGTCAGCCAGAGTCAGGACCATTTTTTAGTCACTTTCAGAGGAATGAGCTCATGACGGTGTCACAGCAAAGAGCCTGATAGAACGACTGTTTTATCTGGTTAACTCATTGCAATTGAGATGATTTCCCAGACACTGAAACCTGACACAAGCCACTTCCCAAACTCAATCATTATATGCAGATGATGAGAACCTGCTAGTTTTGACGGGCTGGTTTCCTTATATTAGCCGTTTCCTTATATTAAAGTTTAAAACAGGGCTTTTGGTGCCAAAGACCCACCAACAATTAGGTTTTTATTCAGCAAGGATGCATTAAAGTGATCAAAAGTAGCAGGAATTTATAATGTTACAAAAAAATGTATTTAAAATAAACACTGTTCTGTTGACCTTTCTATTTACTAAGAATCCTGAACATTTTTTTCCACAAAACACAGTTTCCACAAAAATTTGAAGCAGCTCAACAGTTTTTAACATTGATAATAGGGCTGCACGATAAATCGAAATGGAATCGAGATCGCGATTCGACAAAAGCTGCGATTGTCATGCGTATCTTTCAGTGAAGCACGGTTCTGTGATCAGCAGTAAATCTCCATCCAAAGGCCAGAGGGCACTCTTGTGCTGAAACTCCAAATACGCCTCGCAGAAGAAACCCAGAAAATGCCTATCGCTGCAGCTGAATAAACAGAAGATTCAACTGCTTTCATTGATTCAACGTGACTAATAAACACACGACTACGGCAATATATGGTTTATCGGAGTTCTTATTATTATAATTTTCATTAAAATAAAGTATATTTATAATGCAATGCCTTTATCACTGCTTAAATACTATGAAATATGTTGCGTGCCTTATTCTGTGTAAGCAGCCACATCATCTCACAGAAGGATTTATTTCAAACACTCGACTGACGTTATGAAGTGAGTTTGGAGTAAAAATGTTATTAAATGTGATATTTTCAAATGCTTTCAGATGGAGCAGCATTTACTTTACAGAGCTGTAGTTCACTGAGAAGCTATGCAAACAGCTGTCATTATCGCAAACGATTTCTTTGATCAGATTCAGAATCGTGCAATAAAATCATCTGCGATTTTCTTGCGTAACTTGTCAGTGAACTACAGCTATGTGTAGTAAATTCTGCTCCATCTGAAAGCACGTGATGATGATTTCCTGCTGATTACAGAACCGGCTTTGCTATCAAAAAAGTGAGTTTGGAGTAAAAATGTTATTAAATGTGATATTTTCAAATGCTTTCAGATGGAGCAGCATTTACTTTACAGAGCTGTAGTTCACTGAGAAGCTATGCAAACAGCTGTCATTATCGCAAACGATTTCTTTGATCAGATTCAGAATCGTGCAATAAAATCATCTGCGATTTTCTTGCGTAACTTGTCAGTGAACTACAGCTATGTGTAGTAAATTCTGCTCCATCTGAAAGCACGTGATGATGATTTCCTGCTGATTACAGAACCGGCTTTGCTATCAAAATGCGCATGACAATCGCATTCGATTAATCGTGCAGCCCTAATTGATAATAATATGAAATGTTTCTTGTGCAGTAAATCAGCATATTAGAATGATTTCTGAAGGATCATGTGACACTGAAGACTGGAGTAATGATGCTGAAAATTCAGCTTTGCGTCACATCAATAAATTACATCTTAAAGAATATTTAAATACAAATGTTATTTTAAATTCTAATAATTTATAATAATTAATCAATTAATTTTACCAACCCCAAGGAAAAAAATATAATATTAAAGTATATTATATTAAGTACTATATTATATTAAGTGTATTTTTTTTTTTCCAAAGTTAGGTGTATAAAACTGACCGTGACTGCCCTAAAAAGTAATATTAATAATTATTTTGTGTTCTCTATAGTTTTTGTCCTTAAATTCAACAAGATAAAAAAAAATTTTAAAAAAAGTTTGACATGTGGAAAAATGTTCATCTTTGCACAAAAGTCTGGTGGTGAAACACTGTGCATATTTGCACTTTCACATCCCATTCTTTCACAATGCAAAACAAACTGAGCACAAAGTACTAGAGTTCTCTTGTGACAAAGAAGGGGTGTGACTTTCACCACAGCCAGTGGAAGTGGACACTCTGACCACGGTCTCGCAGTTCAGTCTGAGTCAGTGGAAACTGGTGGAAGGTTCTGATTAAGAGATCTGCTGCAGAGAAGCACATGCTCTCACTGTCACACTATTAATATACTCCAGTGGAACATCGAGCACACATACACTTCCCTTTTGACAGAGGGTCCCACTGGGCCCCTAACAGTTCATTTAGGGGAATACCTGACTGTACCGTATGTAAAGACCACCTGAGATGTGTTTCAAACCGTGTTTGTAAGCATTGAGGTCATATAAATGTATGTATTTACATACATACAGCGGGGTCCAGCATAAGAATTCTTACCAGGTACAGAAGGAAAGTGTGCAGTCCAGTGCCAAGACCGACTGAAGACAAAATACCCAGGCCTACCCAGTAGGCACACCACAGGAACTTCTTCTCCAGGTACTGGACATACTACAAACAATACAAACACTAAGTTGATAAAGAATCAAGACGCTTCAGAGGAATAAATTCTCTAAATGACTACCTTATAGAAGCTTTAGAAAGAAACTGATCTTAAGAAATGTTACAATAATTCAATTATATTAACAATACAACAATTCTGGCTACAACAAAGATGCTGTAGAAGCCCCTGAGCTCACCTCTTGATGTGCTCCTTCTATTGAGTAAGCCATTGAGAAAAGTGAAAAAAGGACTACAGTCAAAAACACCACACCTCTTCTCTGCCAAAGCCTGCAAAATAAATAAATAGCCACTGAATACTGATCTGTACTATTAAAAGTAGGTTTGATTTCATTACTAAAAGGTGGATCTGATAAGTAGTATGACTATAAATGAATTAAAATAATCCCAATTAGCCCTACAGTTCAAAGGTTTGGAGTCAAAAGATTTTTTTCATTATTTTGAAGTCTTGTGCTCATCAAGTCTGCATTTATTTGATCAGAAATACAGTAATAACAGTAATTTTACTATTATATATTGCCATTTAAAATACTGCTATTTCAACATAAAGTGATGCTGTGATGCCAAGCTGAATTTTCAGCATCATGACTCCAGTATTCAGTGTCACATGATCCTTCAGAAATCATTCTAATATGCTGATTTGCTACTCAAGGAACAAATTATTTTTTCAAACGGTTGTGCTGCTTCATATTTTTATGGAAACTGATTCACTTTTTTCAGAATTTTTTTAAAGAACATTTATTTAAAAATGGAAATCTTTTGTAATCTTTAGTGTCATTTTTGATCAATTTAACGCATCCTTGCAAAATAAAAGTATTAATCTCTTTACAAAAAATGCATATATATATATATAAATTGGAAATCTTTTGTAATCTTTAGTGTCATTTTTGATCAATTTAACGCATCCTTGCAAAATAAAAGTATTAATCTCTCTACAAAAAATGCCTACATGCATATATATATAAATAAACATTTTTAAAGAGATTAACACTTTTATTTTCTGACTTCAAACTTTTGAAATGTATTCAGTTCCCTCAGGAAAGACCCTGAATGATAGTTGTAAATATCACTCGGTGCCATTTCACTTTTTTAGCATTGATAGGAAATCAATTTCACCATACAAGGACAGCAAGGACAGCAAATAATGTGGTTAAACTTCCCATAAACTATATATAAAAGACACTTAAAAACTGAGTGTACAATTGTGAGTGAGTGTAAACTAAATTTCTTACTTCCACGTCCATTCTTTCAGGGTAATGAGGGTTTCTATGCAGAAATACTGTAGTGTGGTAAAAGGCCTCTTCCACAGTACTAAAGAGAGACGCTCTTCCTTGTCCAGCTGCTTTCGCTCTCTCAGAGATGAATCTGTGGGTACAATACACAAGCTTTTAAAATACTATTCAATTATATTTTAAAACAACATGCAAAGCATCTATTGGTGAGCAAGTGATGCTAAACTGGCCTGAGGGTGAGAACATTTTCAGTAAAAATGATTTCATTTTAGGGTGAACTATTTCTTTAAGATCAATGATGAAAGATCAATCTATCCGTGACTAGGGCAGGTCTGTTTATCTCTGGTCCTGACCCTTGACCAGCTCAGCTGACGGTTACGCTGTGGCTGCCAGCAGGTAATGTCATTTTTGATCAATTTAACGCATCCTTGCAAAATAAAAGTATTAATCTCTCTACAAAAAATGCCTACATGCATATATATATAAATAAACATTTTTAAAGAGATTAACACTTTTATTTTCTGACTTCAAACTTTTGAAATGTATTCAGTTCCCTCAGGAAAGACCCTGAATGATAGTTGTAAATATCACTCGGTGCCATTTCACTTTTTTAGCATTGATAGGAAATCAATCTCACCATACAAGGACAGATACAAGGACAAATAATGTGGTTAAACTTCCCATAAACTATATATAAAAGACACTTAAAAACTGAGTGTACAATTGTGAGTGAGTGTAAACTAAATTTCTTACTTCCACGTCCATTCTTTCAGGGTAATGAGGGTTTCTATGCAGAAATACTGTAGTGTGGTAAAAGGCCTCTTCCACAGTACTAAAGAGAGACGCTCTTCCTTGTCCAGCTGCTTTCGCTCTCTCAGAGATGAATCTGTGGGTACAATACACAAGCTTTTAAAATACTATTCAATTATATTTTAAAACAACATGCAAAGCATCTATTGGTGAGCAAGTGATGCTAAACTGGCCTGAGGGTGAGAACATTTTCAGTAAAAATGATTTCATTTTAGGGTGAACTATTTCTTTAAGATCAATGATGAAAGATCAATCTATCCGTGACTAGGGCAGGTCTGTTTATCTCTGGTCCTGACCCTTGACCAGCTCAGCTGACGGTTACGCTGTGGCTGCCAGCAGGTAATTGATTAAATCAGCTTTCCATCATCTTAACAAACCTGTAGAACTGCCATTCTGCTTGTCTTTAGGGCCTAGTCTTTTCTGTGGCTGTTCACATTCTGCTCCATTTGCAGCCATCTCCCACAACTGTTTACAGTTCAGACACCTGCACACAGAAAACAAACTTTGCAATGTCATCATAAATGGCAGCCGCTAAAACATGACTCACTGAGATCTTGGGAAGTTTGCCGAAGGCAGACAAACATCTCAAATCAAATTTGGAAGTGTTGGTTTGTCCTCTAAAGAAAACCTTGAGTGGATTAGTAGTTAGTCTTTAGGGAATAAATGTAATAAATGTTGATTAAAATTGTTTTTTAATTTTTTTTAAATAATCTGATGATCCCAAAGACCATTACAATCAATAAAACTGACGAAAAAGAAGAAATTATAAATGTATTCTAGTACCAGTACATTCATTTATTTCCATCTCAGGACTCTGAGCACCTGTATAGGTTGAACTAGGACCTTTAACTAGTACTTAAACTAACCCAACTAAACTATAACTTCATAGCATGAGATTAACCAACTGATTAAATAGGGTTATAGTATATGATGAGCAAGTGATGCTAAACTGGCCTGAGGGTGAGAACATTTTCAGTAAAAATGATTTCATTTTAGGGTGAACTATTTCTGAAAGATCAATCTATCCGTGACTAGGGCAGGTCTGTTTATCTCTGGTCCTGACCCTTGACCAGCTCAGCTGACGGTTACGCTGTGGCTGCCAGCAGGTAAATGATTAAATCAGCTTTCCATCATCTTAACAAACCTGTAGAACTGCCATTCTGCTTGTCTTTAGGGCCTAGTCTTTTCTGTGGCTGTTCACATTCTGCTCCATTTGCAGCCATCTCCCACAACTGTTTACAGTTCAGACACCTGCACACAGAAAACAAACTTTGCAATGTCATCATAAATGGCAGCCGCTAAAACATGACTCACTGAGGTCTTGGGAAGTTTGCCGAAGGCAGACAAACATCTCAAATCAAATTTGGAAGTGTTGGTTTGTCCTCTAAAGAAAACCTTGAGTGGATTAGTAGTTAGTCTTTAGGGAATAAATGTAATAAATGTTGATTAAAATTGTTTTTTTATTTTTTTAAATAATCTGATGATCCCAAAGACCATTACAATCAATAAAACTGACGAAAAAGAAGAAATTATAAATGTATTCCAATACCAGTACATTCATTTATTTCCATCTCAGGACTCTGAGCACCTGTATAGGTTGAACTAGGACCTTTAACTAGTACTTAAACTAACCCAACTAAACTATAACTTCATAGCATGAGATTAACCAACTGATTAAATAGGGTTATAGTATATGAGAATTTTGAACACCTGTTGGGTAATTACCAATTATTTTAAATAAACAAAATACCATTTCCAGTTTATATTTATTTCAAACAGTCCATGTGGGTGATGAACCGGCAAGAATTAGCTATCTAGGTTAGCTTTGAGTCCCCTATTGCTGTTTATATTTGATTTCAGACTCTGCGTCGATTACATAGTGATGTTCACATACTTTTGGGCTAAAAAAGAGAGAAAAGTGTCATAACAGAGGTCATGTAAAGTGAAGGGACAGTCATACCTGCAACCACTCTTCCGTCCTGACAGCAGCAACAAGCGACAACAGCCACAGGAAATGACTCACGTTCAGCTGGAGAACGGTTCAGGCGTTTCAAAATAAAAGACCCAGAGAGAACGACTGCCCGCTGACTGGCATCTGTCGAGTCGATTTTATCATACCGCTTAAATTCAGCGAGCTTTAGCTTGGCTGACATTTTCACCACGCTCTCAATATTATAGAAAGTTTGTCAATTTTTATTTAGGATATCGCACAGCAGCTTCTCCGTATGGCTTGGGGGCTCTGTCGATGACAAAAATAGAAAGGCTATTTTAGGATGACCAATCAACACTTTTATTCTGCTTCACGCGTATCCGGGATCAGAATACCTGACTTCTCAAGATTTTCTAGCGTACTATCGAATGACCGAAGGACGTTCATGTCCTTCCCCGTGTGCCTATTTATACACGTCTAAACGGTGTTGAATTTTAAACATTTTGTCCAGGCTTCTCTCTTATAGATTGATATAAATGAACATGTTTACAAATATACATTTCTGCAAATTTAAAATCTCCGCAATTCGCCCTCATTTTAAAGTTTTAGATTAAATTTGTGTAAAATGTTACATTACACAGTAGCCTAATAAATGTCCATTTAATGTACATGAAGGGGGTCGCCTCATGGGCGCCGCCATGTTGAGATCATATGATCCTGCCGATTTTTTCTTTTTGTGTAATACATAATAAATTAAAGCTAACTACACAAAACATTTTTTCGGTTCCTTCCAATATGACCGTCATATCCACTAGCAAAACTGAAGAAAACAAAAAAAAGACCATGTGCACCTTTAATGGCTGCGGTGTCTGTGATTTGTAGAAAAACAAAGTGGCAAGCTATATGATGGAGAACTGACAGGTTTCATTTTAATCTTTGCCCATTTACAATCAAGCCACCAAAATAATCACAATCCTGTGAATTTATTCCCCAGTTTTCTGAATCTGCAGATCGCACACAAATCTTACAGGTGGACAAAGCATTGGTATCCATTTGTGTATTCATTCTTCTGTACACTACGAATAGTGAGCTAGAACAGCACGACACCTGGCACACACAAACCTCAATACAAAAAATCGGATGAGTAAACACAGAAGTCAGAAGAATCAATGTATCCCTTGCTCATTTATGGAAATGGATTCACACAAGAAAGAGCACTGTATTCAATACAAGGAAAGGTCACCTGTTACACATGGAGTGAATGAGATGTTAACAACTACGAGGTCGATCGGGGAAACCGGTTTAGGCTAAGGGATTAAAATCTTTTACTATATTCATGTCTGTATGCGCTTAAAATTTCCATACAGCTACATATTTGTGTAGAATATCAGATTATTACTTAGTGTTAGCTAAATGTACCCATGGATGTATACGTTCATGTTCAAATATTGTTTACCTTTTTTTCAGAATATACAATAATGAAATGCATTAAACAGACTGACAGTGTAAGCTCTTCACATACAATACATCAAAATTAAGAGAATCTACATTAGTTTCCTCTCACGACAGAGTGCAAATCAGATGCTTCACGACATATTTTAAGGTTAATTGCTCTTCTCGACACTCCACTTACATACACAACCCATGCCCCCTTAAAAAAAATCAGCTCACAAAAAAAATAAAAAGAAAGAAAACCTAGTGATATAAGTAGCCTTAAATATGGAATGTGAAATAACAAAAATGTGGTCTGATTATTTTCTTTGACAGCACAAATAAAAATGAAGTCCTTCATTGCATCTTAAGGAAAATAATTTAAAACGCGCAATTTTTTTATTTATTTTTTTACTTTATATAACCTTGTGAGTAGACCACAATTAAGCTAGTAAGGAACTTAAGGAGCGATGGATGGACAGCTGTGGGCAGGAGGGCTTCACATGCCGTAGCCGAAGCCTGGCTGTGCGGGTTGGCCGTAACCAGTCGGCGTGGGGTAGCCGTAGCCGTAAGGCTGCTGTGGGGGAACTGCGACGTTGGGGCCTGCAGTGAGCATCAGCTGGGGTGTGCCTGGGAAAAATGATCAAACACAGGAGCATTAATGCAAAAATGACCTACCACAGGTTGTTCGTCTCGTTTAATGGGTTTAGTATGCAACTGTAAATTATTTTACACCAGACTACTCGGCATTTGTTATGGTGATAGGCCAATATATTGGGCATATTCTGTATTTTGAGGTTACTTGAAATTTTTTGAGTGAAAATATTACATTAATTGTATATGTATATAATATAATTAAATATCAATTTCACTAGCATTTACTAGTACATTTACATACTTGCTAGCATTAAACAAAACAAACAAACAAAATACCAAAAAGGTTATTGCACATATTTCTAAGTGAAAATATTACATACATTATATATATGTATATTATATAATTATCAATTCCATTCATATTTGCTAGCACTAAACTAAAACAAAACAACAATAAAAACACCAAACAAAACAAAAAAAAATGTAACGTGATAAGCCAATATCTGGTATTTTGAGAATACTGCAAATATTTTATGAGTGGAAATTACATAAATTATACATGTGAATTAAATATAAATTTGACTCTTACTTGCTTGCATTAAATTAAAAAAAATCTATATTTCTAATAAAATAAAATGTACAAAAAATGTAACATGATAAGCTAATATATTGTGGCATATTAAGTATTTTGAGGTTACGGCAACAATTTGAGTGAAAATATTACATTAATATTAATTATATGTGTGAATTAAATATACATTTAATTCATGCTTGCTAGTATTAAACCAAACAAACCAAACAAAACCAAAAACACAAAAACTAAATAAATTGGAAAACAATAATTATTTTAAATAGGACCTAAAATAAAATATAATATATTATTAAAACAAGTGACTTCTAGATTATCTGTATTGACCAATAATTTGTAATGGAGTTATAAAAAGTTTTTCTTTCTTAGATGAAGGAGCAGAGTAATGGTCGTACCATAGACAATGGGTTGTGCCTCTGTGAGCTGTTCTTCCTCTTTCCTCAAAGACTCTGAAGCATCCAACTTGTCAACCTGAATGAAGGAGAGCGAGAAAGAAGGACAAGAGTGGGACAATGAGGAGAGATAAATACTCTGAAGAAAGGGGGCAATGACTGATGGATGGGACCATTCATGGGAGATGCATAACGCCAAGCTTAATACAAGGTGCACACGCTTTCAAAGCAGGTCTCGGGGCACGAGCTTCTTGCCAAGGCACTCCATACCCGACGCCAAACACTTCCCATTGAAATAAGCATCCTATTATGTACTACTGGTCTATGCATTTCACATGTAATCGTGGTCACTATGGCTTTGTCAATTCAGTCGATAACAAAGACTTGGTACTAGCAAAGGATGGTCCCCCACACAGTCAGTCAGTATCCTATTAATTAACAATGCATATGTAGAAAACAGAACCCTCTTCAGGTACGATCACATTAGCGAAAGATTCAGGAAAATATTGCCGGGAAAAAGTAGTCAATAGTGTAGCCATGTATAAAGCACAGCTCACACAGATGTCACTTTCAAACCAAGCAGCTTTCTGTTGGTCAGTGTGGTGAATTCACATGCACAAACTGCACGAGTAAATATTTTCCTCGTATGTAGCTTCCTATTGATTTGACTGGATTTCACCCGCAATAATTTGCCAAAACTGTAAATGTGACCGCACCTTTATTCAAACTAATGGTCTCACTTTGTGTATATTTAAAGTCAGAGGACGCTGCTCATTGGACAGGTTCTGTGAAAGATGCCCCTGCGAGAAAAAGGAAGTCATTGTGCGAATAATAGAAACTGAAACTTACAAAAGACCTATAGGTGCCTTACCACCATAAAACAACCAAAACCATAATCTGATATACATGACCAATAAGCAAGTAAAAGCCAAGTTACAAAGGTTAGACTGTTGTGGGTATCTTACCCATCCTTGAATGATTTGATTTAAAGCAATAATTCACCTAAAAAGTACAATTCTGTCATCAAATACTCACCCTTATGTCATTCCAAATCTACTTTTCTTCTTTCTTTTTTTTACACTTCAGTGGAGCACAAAAATAGACATTTTGAAGAATATTCAAACTCTTCTTTCTCATATACTGAAAGTGAATGGGGACTGGAGTTGTTGATCTCTGAAAATGACTAAAAGTCCCATAAAAGTGACTTTCAAGTCTTCTATAATAACTTTTTATGAATTTTATGGTACTTTTTTGTCATTTTTGGAGCCTGACACCATCTGTTTGCATTTTCAATCTATGGAAAAGAGCACCTGGGACATTCTTCAAAATGTATCCATTTGTGTTTCACAGAAGTCAGTCAGCTCTTCAGGTTTGGGACATCATGAGGGTAAATAAATGATTACAGAACTATACCTTTAAATGTTGTATTTGGGTTCAGTTGTCTACATACAGCTGATGTCAACTTTTAAAAGTTAGAGTATTATGTTGTTGAGCAGGCTTAAAGAGATCGGCAGGTCAAAGTTTCATTGAGAGGAAGAAATCATGCCACAGGTGTAGTTTGTTATTCCCATGTTAAAAAGAGTGCATGAGAAAAAGGCAGAGTAAGAGTGAAGGTGTGACGGTGTGAGAGATGGTTTATACAGCCATTCACGGCTTCCAGAGGCAGGCAAAGCCAACAGCCACGATCCCTGACCTTTCAAGGGTGCTACTAACACGGTAAAACGCATGCTCGTAAAGTATCTACAGCACACAATGGTTTTAGTTTTGTGAAGGACCACACTTTCTCATAGCTGTCGCTAGACTGCAGTGTGAAAACAAATCGAGCAACCATGCAACTCTTAGTTTAATGCAAGTATTAAAGAGGTCATATGACGTTGCTAAAAAATAACATTATTTTGTGTATTTGGCGTAATGAAATGCGTTTATGTGGTTTAAGGTTCAAAAAACTGTACAATATTGTTTCTCCTCTATGCCCCGCCTTTCTGAAACACGTCGATTTTTACTAAGCTCATCGGTCTGAAAAGCAAGGCGTACTCCGATTGGCCAGCTATCCAGTGCATTGTGATTGGCCGAATATCTCAAGCGTGTGACGGTAATGTACCATATTGTGATACCCTTACCATACTGTGATTCCGTGTCCTGGCGCGACGAGACAAAACCAATAAAACCCATTATAAACGAGGCATTTGTTGCATCCAGTGGGGACATAATTACGGATTATAATGACTTGTACTGTCTTTTTAAACATAAAACCATGTCTGCATTTGTGATCGGAGAAACGACAAACAACAAGCGCTACTATAAACTGCTCAAAACTCGCATTTGAATCATCAGTGGCAAATCCTTTAAATATGAAAACGAATGAATATTCAAAAGATGCCACAATCCTGCACAGAACGGCTCTGTGAGAACCTACAGTATGGTGAATGACGTCAAGTGGACCGTTCCAAGATGGTGGCCGCATCTACATGCCAGGAGCTGTCGAATGGGGCATCTATACATATCTATGTGCTGTTCTGTGTCAACTGCATTACGCCGGATCTGTTTCCTATGTTGTTGTGATTTTGATATGAACGAAAACAGTGTATCCGTGTGACGCAGCTGACACAGAACGGCATTCGCTGTTTACGTCCAGCAGATACTCTCCAAAATGGCACCAGGGTGACGCGGAGGAGACGAATTGTTGAATAAAGTCTTTTTTTTTTTTTTTTTTTTGCGCACAAAAAATATTCTCGTAGCTTCGTAAAATTACGGTTGAACCCCTGATGTCACATGGATTATTTTACCGATCTCCTTGCTAAGTTTCTGGAATTGGAAACATTTCCGTTGTATTCTGCCGTGCAAAGGCAAATGACCGTAACTTCGATTTTTGTCGAAAATTAGTTATTGATATTTTTGGGACATTCAAGACATCCTTTATCATGTGCATAAATATCTTGAGTCAATTTCGTTGTTTTATAATTTCGTTAGAAAATAATGGGTCGTCTCAACCGTAACATCGAAAAGCCCCGGAGAAACCAAGGCAGAACACCGTATAACACCAGTTACGGCTCTTGTTTGGAAGGCTCAAATTGAGTTACGGCGTTCAGCCATTTAGTCGTGCGTCAAGATGAAGTTACGGTGCCGGTTTGCTGCTCTGCCTTTTTTTTTACTGTCCATTAAAGTCGGCCACATTTTAATTACGGTGTAGACAAACGAATTAGATAGATCACGAGCTACCAAACAGCTCCATATAACAAATCACTGTAAAGACTAGATAACTTGGCAGCAATACGTAATCGTGAATAACCTTTAAAGATTCTTTTTTTCTTTTTGTGATGTAGATTATTCACCAGGCTGTCACTTAGTTGGACACGTGTGGACTCGAACGCCGTAGCTAGCATGATCAATCATAAAATCAGTAGCCTACTAACAGTTCAATATCCTCAATATCCTCAAATAGGATCAATATCCTACCTTTTCTTGTAACCCAATAAAATCAATCCATGGTGATGAACGTCATCAAAGATGTTTAATCCACAAACATTCTGAGCATTATTCCTGCTTGCTGGCGTTCACATCAATCCACAAGTTGTTTTTTTAGTTTAGGCTATTTAATACGAGTCAATATAAAAGCAATTATGCCATGTCTAGCATTCTTTTACGTTAATGAGCATAGCAAATAAATTGGTATCCACTCACGTTTAACTTTTAGTCTGCTTGTTATGGTAAAAAAAAAAATACAGTAACATTACTATATGCAATAGCATATACGAGACAGCCCATGATCACTAGATTTTATACAGGTGTTACTATAACGATTTTGTAAATGGTTATCAGCAACCAAATATTGATAATGTGGAAGTTACTGCCTTTTGCCTTGGTGTGACTTCTCACGGTTTGCAGATAATGCAAAGGCAGAGTACATTAACTTCAAAATAGGGGTAAAAATCAAGTTTGAGCTCACAATTTTTTAATGTAGATAATTGTCATTACTAAACCATCTAATTGTTAAATTTCCAGTGTCCTACCTATAATTCATTTGGCTGGACAAGTCAAAAAAATTTAAAGTCATTTTTCTCAGTTTCACACTAGCGAGTTAAGGTCTTTTGCCTTTGTAGGGCAGTATTGCTGTCTATGCAGGGTCAGACAGCTCTCAGATTAGGGCTGCACGATATATCGTTTCAGCATCGATATCGTGATGTGCGCATCCGCGATAGTCACATCGCAGGATATGCGATGTTCCTAGGCTACTGATCGTTATATTTATACTGATTGTTTTTTTTTGCTCACACACGGTGTCTTCACCGGACGCGACAGCTGTACAGAGATACCCATTTTAAATACATTTAGTAGCAGAGCTACTGCACGTGATTTTCAGTGCTGGAGATCCATTTATCCTTTGTTGAAACTTCCGTGTCGTCGTGGAGAGCACAGGTCACGGTTGCTTAGCAACAGCAGACGCCACGAAAGCGCAAGCTCCCGAGCGCTTTGGAAAGGAGAAAGCGGCACGACTGGCGTTTTCTCACACGTTTTTAGGCGTGACTTGTGAATGGCCCCAAAGTCTGTCTACACTGGACGCGACAAAGCGACCGTTGCCCATCATTTGAACTTTGTGTCAGTATGTCATAAAGAGAACGTGGCATCAGTTTACTGTCGGGGATTTGTCGTGTCGCGCCGCATCCAGTGTAGACAGCATCACTGATTATAATGGATTCATTGTATTTTGTCATGTTGCGCCGCTCGCGTCCAGTGTAGACACGGTGAGAGCCACGCTGTTTTCTGTTCACTTTTGCGTCTATAACACACACATACATATATTTAAAATACACCAAATACATAAAAAGAGGGAAACCAATTTAAATAAATAAAAAAAATTCACAAAATAAATCTAAATTACAGAATTTTCATTTTTGGGTGAACTAACCCTTTAACGGAACCTTGATCTAAAGCACCTAAACACACTGCACAATTTTCGGCTGTCCCAGACGAAAGATTAACATCATGAAACAATCGTGGTGATTTCTTTGATCCTGGCTCCTAATCGGTGCTCTTATGTCATACAGTGAGAGGTTCAAAGACAGCTGTTGTCACAGTAATGCGATTAAAGATAGCCTACGATACAGAATGATCATCGCACCTTGTGTTTGCTGCTACGATCCACGTTTACTGATCAACCAATAAAAATGACATTAAATCAACATGACATGGCGCTAAAACATAAAACTGCTTACCTCTAGCTCTTATCCCTTCTTTCGCCACTTCCACTTTTTTTCAGCACACATAAAAAAAATACAACTGCTAAAGTGTGATTTATCATGCTCTTTTTGTTTACCACTAGCGCATGCTGATGACGTTTTTTCTTCTGTAGTAACGTGCGTCGTAGCGTACGAGTCAATAGGTGACCTCATCGTACAGTCTACACACACGTCGCAGCCAAGTTTATAAGATCCATGTCGCACAGTTTGGCATGCAGTGATCTTATAGGATTGCTAAAATCGTGCAGTGTGTTTTGGGCTTAAAGCATCTACAATCCCAAACTGTGTCCACCATCAGACCTAGAAGATCCTCTGGATGGAGGCTCACCTTGCTGAGGTATTCCCTCATGACCTGGATGAAGTAGGGCATGGAGAAGTCCATGAGGTTGTGCCTCCACGCGGTCTCCAGCACTACGTCGGGCCTCAGCAGGTCATAGCAGGTGAACAGGCAGGCAGCAAAACACTCTTTCTTGTCTTCCTGCAAGAACCACTGCAGCAGCTCCTCAGCCAGCTCTGTGTCCTTTGACTCTGAAGCATACTGCATTGCGTCCTGCGGCAGAGATACAAGAACAAAGATTCAGTTAAAAAGGTCCTGCCAAAAATTGGGCAACATTCTCAGTATGACGTCCCATGAGGTATAAGACAGGGGTTTTCAAACTGAAGGAATGCAAGCGCTAGGGGGTTCGCAGAAAAGTTTAAAGAAAAACAGCATATTATATATATATATACACAGTGGGTACGGAAAGTATTCAGAAAATCACAGGTAGGTGAGTTTGATCAGGGTTAGAGCTTAATTCTGCAGCGCATTGGCCCTCCAGGGAAAGATTTGAGGAACCTTGATCTAAAGCACCTAAACCCACTGCACAATTTTCGGCTGTCCCAGACGAAAGATTAACATCATGAAACAATCGTGGTGATTTCTTTGATCCTGGCTCCTAATCGGTGCTCTTATGTCATACAGTGAGAGGTTCAAAGACAGCTGTTGTCACAGTAATGCGATTAAAGATAGCCTACGATACAGAATGATCATCGCACCTTGTGTTTGCTGCTACGATCCACGTTTACTGATCAACCAATAAAAATGACATTAAATCAACGTGACATGGCGCTAAAACATAAAACTGCTTATCCCTTCTTTCGCCGCTTCCACTTTTTTTCAGCACACATAAAAAAAATACAACTGCTAAAGTGTGATTTATCATGCTCTTTTTGTTTACCACTAGCGCATGCTGATGACGTTTTTTCTTCTGTAGTAACGTGCGTCGTAGCGTACGAGTCAATAGGTGACCTCATCGTACAGTCTACACACACGTCGCAGCCAAGTTTATAAGATCCATGTCGCACAGTTTGGCATGCAGTGATCTTATAGGATTGCTAAAATCGTGCAGTGTGTTTTGGGCTTAAAGCATCTACAATCCCAAACTGTGTCCACCATCAGACCTAGAAGATCCTCTGGATGGAGGCTCACCTTGCTGAGGTATTCCCTCATGACCTGGATGAAGTAGGGCATGGAGAAGTCCATGAGGTTGTGCCTCCACGCGGTCTCCAGCACCACGTCGGGCCTCAGCAGGTCGTAGCAGGTGAACAGGCAGGCAGCAAAACACTCTTTCTTGTCTTCCTGCAAGAACCACTGCAGCAGCTCCTCAGCCAGCTCTGTGTCCTTTGACTCTGAAGCATACTGCATTGCATCCTGCGGAAGAGATACAAGAACAAAGATTCAGTTAAAAAGGTCCTGCCAAAAATTGGGCAACATTCTCAGTATGACGTCCCATGAGGTATAAGACAGGGGTTTTCAAACTGAAGGAATGCAAGCGCTAGGGGGTCTGCAGAAAAGTTTAAAGAAAAACAGCATATATAATGGCTGCAATATAACAAAGAGTGAAAAATTTAAGGGGGTCCGAATACTTTCCGTACCCACTGTATATATACATATACATACACACACAGAGAGATGCATCTCAAAAAAAGTTATTTTTTTTGTAAGGAGCCCCGACCAAGTATTGAGTGCATAAATGAACAATTTAAAGAACTTGAACTTTTCTGTTTTGCAAATCCTTTTTTTGATTGATCATAGGAAATATTCTATTTTGAGATACTGTATTTTTTACTTTCATGAGCTGTAAGCTCTAATCTTCAAAATTTAAGCAAAAATAACTTTGCTGTTTTACTGTACATGTAATGAATCTAGAATATATGAAAGTTTCACTTTTTGAAATGTTACAAAAAAAAAACTATTTATATAACTATATATAAACTCTAATTATTTGAGATGCTCCTGTATGTGTGTGTGTGTATATATATATATATTAGATTAATACAAATTAAATTACATTAAAATAAGTTATTTTATAAATGCAAGACATTTTATACATTTATTAATAAGCAAATAAATAAATAAACTAAATAAATCTGATTAACAAATAAGAATTAGATTAAAATAAAATTTGATAATGTAAGTAATAATAAATGAGTAAAAAAAAAATTTGACTACGTAGGAAAAATAAATTACAATAAAATAAGAAAAAATACGACAAAAAATACATTAGATCAATAAGTAAATAAATGGGTAAAATTAATTTATAATGTTTAGATCAAAATAAATATATAAAATAAGATTAAAATAAATCATTTTTATGAAATGTAAAGCTAAAATGTGATTAAAATGCTACTATAGTGTACTGTGATGACTAGAAAAATATAAACATATATAACATTTATTTTTAATATCTTAGATTTATTTATAATATATTTTTTACAGTATAAATTCTATAAAAAACATTTTTTTTTATAAAAACAAACTATATTGACACCTTTAAAATTTTAGCATGGGAGTCCCTCACATAAGGATGATCATATTTGGGATCCCTGGCATCTAAAATATTTAAAAGCCCTGGTATAAGAGACGGTTGACTGAAGGTGAGACCTTGTAGAGTTTGTCTTTCTTGCAGAGCTCCACGCTCTGCTTCCAGCGGTTGTTGCCTTTGAACAGGTAGGCGGCGATTCGCCTGAACTCGATGAGTTCGTGCTTCTCCAGGCTCTGAGCCAGAGATATGTTGTCGAAGTTATCGTAGGCATCAATGGATGTGCGCAGAGCCTGTGGAAAAAAAAGAAAAGACAATAGATCGCAAAGCTGCCAACCAAGAAAATGTTCATAAAATTACAGGCTGGTTCCAAAATGGTGCGTTTGATATATACCTGATAATCCTCCTCCGTGATGAAGAGATTATTTAGTGCCTCATTTACAGCCTTGTTGTTGTGGTTCTGTACAGATCTCAGGTATGGTTTCACCAACGACAATTGTTTGACCTGAAAACAACAAATCAAAACATTTGGTTAAAACAGTCAAACAGTGGCTGGAATGGTAAGCGGAAGTCACACACAGTACCTTGCTGAAGAAGTTGACGGCACGAGTGTGGTCGAGACGTGGGGACAGTACGATCAACAGGTCGTTCAGTAACAGCGGTTTGAACTCCAGGTAGAACTGGGTGGCTTTGTAATACAGCTCAACGTTAGCAACCTGCAACAAGAGTTAACAGAAAAGCTTAAATTGGATTAAAAAAATACAACCTTTTCAGTCCAAACGAGTGAACAAAGTTTGACGAAGTCCTAAACCCTAAGTATGAGTAAAAGGTGACAATACCTTGGTTATGATGTCCTTGAACTGGCTCTCCTTCCAGGCATCTGAAGGATGGTTCATCATGGTGATGATGGCGTTGTCAAACTCCTCATACTTATCATACAGGAAGACTAGCTCTGCCCACAGGTGAGCCTGCTCTGCTGCCCTCAAAACCTGAACAGATGCATGAAATATTTCATCAATTTGTTCCATCAACCGATACGTGGAGATGAACCACTGTGCATATATAGGGTTTGCTATTTTAATGATAATTAGTTTGGACAAAATATAATAGGGGTGCCCCCGATCAGGATTTTTGAGGCCGATCACAGAAAGCAGTATCTGCCGATACAATCACCGATACCGATCTTTTTAAAGCCTTATTTTTATCATGTAGAATTATAGTAATACTCCAATCAGGAATTTTAGACATTTATTCAGGGTCTGAATTTCATTTCTGAAAATGGGGAAAATTTCCCTCTTACAGGTGGCTCTTGTGAGAGGGGATTTTTTTTATTTGAGGGGTGGTGGGGAGCATTTTTTTAGACATTTTTCAAAAATATATATTTTTTTCACCTAAATGTTCAATCACGCAGTACATTTTAGTTTTTACACTCGTGCAATTGTTGCACAATACCTTACACACAGCACAACACAGTTGCTCAAGCAAGTGTCAAAACATTTAATATACTTTTCTTACATCATCACAAACACTCTAAATTAAAACTTACCATTGACAGAAACAGTCAGCTCTACTGCCTTTTTTTGCATTTAAATCTTTATTACAAGCAATCCTGCAGGGTTCATAAGAAATTTCCCTCTTACAGGTGGCTCTTGTGAGAGGGGATTTTTTTTATTTGAGGGGTGGTGGGGAGCATTTTTTTTAGACATTTTTCAAAAATATATATTTTTTTCACCTAAATGTTCAATCACGCAGTACATTTTAGTTTTTACACTCGTGCAATTGTTGCACAATACCTTACACACAGCACAACACAGTTGCTCAAGCAAGTGTCAAAACATTTAATATACTTTTCTCAGCTCTACTGCCTTTTTTGCATTTAAATCTTTATTACAAGCAATCCTGCAGGGTTCATAAAGAACTTTGTTTTCCTACCTCCACCAGTGCCATCTATTATTGCCTTGTTTATCTAAAAGTGCTCTTTTCCTTTAATCCTAGCCAAAAAGCCGCAAGTGTTGACTGTGAAACACAGTAGACTTTAATTTTATAAATTTATGGTGTACTTACTACATTTTCGTTTTCATATTTACCGCATACAATGCGCTGTCACTTTAATTCAGCGCGTGCAGCAAACTCGGGGTGGAATCAATCGCTGCACTGCTGCAGACCACTCCTGGAACGCAATGCCAGACCGTAATCGTGTGCAGTGTGAACGCTTTAATCCGTTAACATGAGCGCAAAAAGAATACGCACTGCAAACGGAGTAATGTGGACCTGGCGTTATGTGTGTGCACTGCGAGTGTGCATGAGCGCTCAGTCTCCAGAAGAGCGCGTGAGCGCTGAATGCTCAAAGTCCCTGTAAAGGCAATATTAAATATGTGTTCTGAGTTTGTCACACTACAGAAAAAATTATTATTAACCACTCAGCCAAATTTGAATGATGAAAAAATCTGCCAAGTAAATAAAATAAGTGATCAAAATCTTGAAAAAAATGGGCGGTATCCTCTGCTCTCAAATGCTGCGGGCATGTCCGCTTTTTGCGCTGAACCCACACAAGCACACAAGTTAACTTACACTCAATGGTGGGCACGTACTGCCGTTGATGGCACCAATTGTCGGCGGGATGAGAGGATGAAGGCCGAGGCGGGAAATAGTCAGTTCGGCCCCATTTACCAGTAACAGCAGATTATCAGTGAATCCCAGTTGTCTCCGATGAAAGTTTATAAATTTATCTGGTGTAAAATGATCACTGCAAAGACGGGTTTTGGTGGTGATCCTCAGCTCTCCATCAAGGTGGCTCTTCACAAAATGAATCCAACTCTTTTTGATATAATCATTAATAGGAAATTTAAATAACGGCACCGAGCTGTTTTGTATGTTATCGCAACCAGGAAATACGCATTTCAGTGACAAAGGCATAGCTAGCTAGCTGTGTGTGTGTAGGCTGTGTGTTACTGACAACTCGCGATTGAGCGGTTGAACTGATGCGAATGTGCTCTAGTTATAGTGTTAGGGGAGGGGCCATGGCTCGGGGGCTCCAGTGCATCATCGAACCCCCTTTTTAGCCCCGCCCAAAAAATCCTGAACACAGAATTGGTGAAAAACTGTTTAATGGTCGAACTCCACTATTCAGTCCTACATAGTTCACAATCTTTGTAATGCGTTTCAGCAATACATTTGTAACATTTATAATGCATTCAGAAACAATTCTCAGAATTGACTTTAAACACTGGCAAGAATTAAAAAGTAATGCAATTTATAAACTTTAGTGATGATGCGACACTGCCTCGATTGTGCAAGTGACCATTCCTGTGTCAACTGTGCAGCGTGCAGCTCGCTTAAAGTGCAGACTCGATGTGATTTGAAGCCCTTTGCGCATTTTAAGAGGGAGAAAGAGTGCGCGGTGATTCACTCACGCTGTTTGTGAAATTATATCTTTTATTATTATTATATTATTTAATGAAGAAATATGAATTGTACGGTTTATGAGATCGGCCTTTAAAAAGATAGGGCTGTCGAGATAACTGCAATATCGCGCTATTGACGCAGAGGAATGCAAGAAGCGCATCAACCGCGATTTTTGCGTGTTTTCTTTTTTCGTAAGGTTATGTCCTTCTCGTTTTACACTTCATGAATGTGGACTGAATATTGAACAAGTTAGTAATGATAATATAATGTGTACCATGCTGATTTGTACTGCGGCTCCGTAGATTTGCACTTAACAAGCCTAAACAGACAGTGAATGAGAGAGAGATTGACTGAGCGCGTGCGCTTACTTGCTTCTGTACTCCAGGCCGAGTCATATATGTTTGTGAAAATAGGTTGTCATCTCCAAGGAAAGCGAAACCTCTGTCTTAGCATAGACGCATAGCTGGTCAGCTGAGCCTTCTAAAGTGGTGCTCAAAGTTAAAATGATTTCAACAGTGTGTTTCATTAGGTCTCTCTTTGAATTAATGAATCAGCGTTTTTGAAGATGTAGTTGAATGAACGGTTTAAAGACTCACTCAAAGACGGTCCCTTTCCACCACCTTGTGGGGCAACAATGTAACTGCACTGACTGAGGTGGACATATCAATAGAAAGTCTCTTGTCCAGTCAGATTAGAAGATCAGATCAGAACCAACTGTTATACATATAGGCTAACGATAGCCTAACGGATCTTATTGTCAGGTTTATGTTCTGTGGACCGTTATTTAGTCATTCTCTTCTGTTTACTTCACTTCCTGTTTCAACGCTATTTGGTTTCGGTTTCTGAATATGACCTCGTTATTTATATCTTAACACATAAACACACAGATTTTATATATATATATATATATATATATATATATATATATATATATATGTGTGTGTGTGTGTGTGTGTGTGTGTGTGTGTGTGTGTGTGTGTGTGTGTATGGCAATAATACCGCATTCCGCGCTGTTGAGCCACTCAAAATTACCGCAAGGGGAATTCCCTCACCGTGACAGCCCTAACCTAATGTTTTTTCTATGAAATAGGGGCATGTTTTTGTGGAGCCACAAACACCACTAAAAAACTCAAGTAAGGCTTCAGAAGCCGCGTTACTGGAGAGCCATAAGAACATGGTAACACATAAACACACAGATTTTATATATATATATATATATATATATATGTGTGTGTGTGTGTGTGTGTGTGTGTGTGTGTGTGTGTGTGTGTGTGTGTATGGCAATAATACCGCATACCGCGCTATTGAGTCACTAAAAATTACCGCAAAGGAAATTCCCTCACCGTGACAGCCCTATATAGAGACCGTTGATCAAACATCCCAAAGCGATTATCGGCCGATAGTGATCGGTAGCCGATCAATCGGAGCACCCCCAAAATATAAGAACTCCATTTTCATCAATCAATATAAATTTGAAGCAGACAGACCTTGGGAATGTTGACTCTGGACCAGAAGAGCTCCAGGTGCTCCCTCATCTTCTGTGGTTTGAATTTGGAGTAGAGGATGGCCAGTTCTGTGAACATGCCCATGTGAGCGCGCTCCAGCCCCAGCGCCGCCTCCAGCATGGTGATCAGCTCCTCGAAATAGCCACGGTCCTGATGGAGAAACCGCAATTATCAGTGCTGCTGGACTCCAAGATGGACAGACACACTAAGGAGGTTCTTCTTAAATCATGAATTTAATTCTATGACTTTGAGTTGTTTGTGATAATTGGTTCATTTTAAGTCCTATCTAGACAACAATAATTACTATTATTTTCTATATACTTGACTCTGCTCTGTTTGTAATCCCATAGTAGGATTTTGTGTTTATAAATGCAATAATTATTAAACTCAAAGAACAATTTCTAGTCAAAGAAATATTGCAAAATGTAGTGCAATTATATCACACCATCAACTACTATTTTATAGTAAATTAGGGCTGTCACTAACGATTATTTTGGTAATTGAGTAATCGGTCGATTATTCTGACAATCAAGTAATCGGATAATTATAATTATTTTTTAGTGGTAATAAAAATTAACAATAGCCTTTAAAATTACTTAAAATACAGATATAATAGCAATGAGGCAAGAATTAGTTCAAATAAAGGGTTCTTCACTTCCTGCAAAGCGGTGCATAAGACTGACATGACACCTTCATAATCATGACATGACACCTACATAATCATGACATGTCATGAATATGAAGGTTTTTTATGCATGTTTATGACAACTGTCATTAAGTGTCATTCGCTCAGTTATGTAATTTTTAATGCAAAGATGACATTGTTTGAGATGTCTTTGTTATGGGCTATTGTTAGGGGTAAGGGTAGGATTAGGGTTAAGTTAGGTCAAATAATGTCATATTTGCATTAAAAATGACATAACTGAGCGAATGACACTTAATGACAGTTGTCATAAACATGCATAAAACCTCCTTCATATTCATGACATGCGTCATGTCATGATTATGAAGGTGCAATGTCAGTCTTATGTACACCCCTTCAAGTAAAGTGTTACCAAATAAAGTATCAAAAGCAAGTAATCAAGGATTTATTGAACAAAACTGTTAAAATACATAATGTATTATAAACAATAGAACTAATGTACACTACACATTTTAACAAATGCCTGCAGAGGGTGCCAACGTCCTGACGATTGTTTTTACACTTTACTGAGATGATGACAGTTTGTGTGGAGCAGCATTTACTGTTAATGGAGCTGCACTGACACACTTATGTAACCCACCATGTAATTTTATGCATGTTTATGACAACTGTCATTAAGTGTCATTCGCTCAGTTATGTAATTTTTAATGCAAAGATGACATTGTTTGAGATGTCTTTGTTATGGGTTATTGTTAGGGGTAAGGGTAGGATTAGGGTTAGGTTAGGTCAAATAATGTCATATTTGCATTAAAAATGACATAACTGAGCGAATGACACTTAATGACAGTTGTCATAAACATGCATAAAACCTCCTTCATATTCATGACATGCGTCATGTCATGATTATGAAGGTGCAATGTCAGTCTTATGTACACCCCTTCAAGTAAAGTGTTACCAAATAAAGTATCAAAAGCAAGTAATCAAGGATTTATTGAACAAAACTGTTAAAATACATAATGTATTATAAACAATAGAACTAATGTACACTACACATTTTAACAAATGCCTGCAGAGGGTGCCAACGTCCTGACGATTGTTTTTACACTTTACTGAGATGATGACAGTTTGTGTGGAGCAGCATTTACTGTTAATGGAGCTGCACTGACACACTTATGTAACCCACCATGTAAATAATTAAAGAACACATCTTAAACCTGCATCGCATATACTTATTTAATTGAAGCACAGCATTTGTGAATTCACGAACAGCATTATGCTTTATTATGATTTTTAAATGGGTTAAATATATAAGTCAGCCATGGAAAACAGTCTAATAATGCATTGCATGGATTCTCATCTGTAAACTTCGCCACTTCCTGTATTTTGCCCGTTACTCGACACTGGCAAAATGCAGCTTAATAGTAAATATTACAGCTTAAAATTTAAATCCACTATAGAATTATACGGATTATGAATATTTTCACAAACTTTTCATGATTGTGGGAACCCTTTTAATATCTCAAGCTATGAAAATGCCATCAAACCTAAATTAAATCATTCTCACCTGGTAGTAGTTGATGAGCTCCTCAAGTTCATCAGCATGAACGACAATATGCAATCCACACATCTGAGCCAGACGAAACTCCTTCCCATCAACACAGGCAAAGCAAACCTACAAGCAGGCAACATCTTTGTCATAATGTAAACAGAATATACAGAGGCAAAACAAACGGGATTAAAGCTACTCACATAAACACAAGGTAACCTGCAACTTAGAATGGCTTCTGTAACTGTACAAAAGAACAAGAATGTATAACCAGACCTCTTTCCAGGTCCTTGTGCTGTTGGCTTTGCGGGCCCCATCGACAGCAGCCTGATACTCGCCAAGATGCACCAGAGTGGAGGCCAGACGGCCAAAGTTGGATACATTGTTATAAAGTAGTTTAGCTGCGTCGTACATCTTCTCATCATAGCATCGGTCACCAACCTAGACAGAAAAAAGCAAAATAAGTTCAGACATTAATCGATCAGACATTTACAAAAAACACTGCAGGAATTTGTAATTTGTTTAACTAAACAGCAATATTTAATAGCTTAGAACTTATTTAAACTTTTTATTTCATTTCCAAGGGCTTTTTTATATTTTCATCCTTTAATGTAAAATACTTCCATTTATTTTACATCTAAATATATCCAAATACAGCAAATATTGAAAATGGCAAAAAAAAAACATTTATGAAAATAAAAAAAGAATTCATTTTGGGGGAACTGTCACCCATTTTTTTTATTTCTTGGATATCTGCACTTTCAGTGGCAAATTTTGCCCCATTAATTTCTAACCAAGCACTTAGCCAAAGTAGGAGACTCATACTTGTTGAATGTGTGCATTGTTTGGCCCATTGATAAACTCCTCCAGTTCAGCCAGACGATTAGTCTTGGCCAGTGCAAAGATCAGCTCTGTCTCTACATACGATTCACGGGCCTTCTTACGAGCCATCTGTAGAAACTTGACCAGATCCTCCCAGTTTCCTGAGGAGAAAACAACGATAATCTCACTACTAGACCATTTCCCATATTTAGGAACATCTCAACTTATTTAGTCAAGAATCAGGCACTTTTTATTGGTTCTTACCGCTTTGGGCTGCAGCTTGTCCCACTTCCATGTATGCCGAGGGGTCGTCAGCTTTGATGTAAGAGTCAATGGCCTCTTTCACCAGCCCCTTCTGCAGCTGTGCTTTAGCCAGCTGACTCCACACGGCCGGTTCATTACAGCGCTCGGCAAACTCATAGGCCCGGTCCAGATTTCCAATGTGCTCGATAAGAACCTACAGCCAAGAAGGACAACTAATTATTTGAGATCGCAAAAACAGGTAAAAAAAACTAAGGGCAGGAACAACTATGCTTAAACACTCATATAGAATATATTAAGATGATATTTGGGAGATAAGCTGCACCTGCACTGCTGACGTGTTCACATCGAACTTCCTGAAGATCGCAAAAGCCTCCTCGAAGAGCTCATTGCTAATGGCGATGTTAGCGATGTCTGGGGCATCATAGTTGTCGAGGCGGTTGATGTACTCCATGACACGAGTGCGGTCAGCTTTGATGGCTGTCAGAATCAGGAGGTTCTGCAGGTTCCTGGGACACAAATAATGGAAAAGCAAATGTTTAACAACCTAAAATCATTTATGGAAATCAGTTTATGTTCAGTCACCGCTCAGATAAAATTACCTGTGTTCGCTGAAAACGGAGTTGTCCAAAACAATCTTCTCCAGAAGTTCAATGAGTTCATTGGGTAGGTCAGCAGTCATGAAAGCTTTGACAGTAACAGACACTTCCTCAGGGTCCTGGGTCTCAGAAAGGGCAGTTTGAACAACCTGTGGTGGGCGGGAACATAAGCTGTATTTAATTTTTATGTTTTTGTATATTATAACTTTTTTATATTATAACTCATCAACGTACTTGAAGTCAACATGAAATAAAAATGTGCCCCATTTTCTTTCCTAAAGCACTGGCATGGTATTTCTAGCCTTCAAAACAACAGGTTGAAACAATGTTCCTTTTCTGATGACATCACCAATTCCTACTTTTTTAGCTCCTCCCCTTCAACCATTTGGTTACATTCTAGTATGTAACACCAATTTTTCACATCATTTTCAATAGATTTTTTTTTCAAGTTAGGCCATTCTACTGGGAAATGTAAAATTAAGGAACTAAAATGGGCTGCAAATAAAGCTTCATGTTGACTTGTAAGTTATTTTCTAATTTGCACCTGGTCGATTAGGGGTCTCCTGTAAGGGTTGCTTTCCAGAAGCACACTAGCCCACAGCTCGGGGTCCTTACGACGCACAAGGTATCGGGACAGACTCTTGAAGAGCGAGTTCTCATTGCAAACCTGTGAAGGTGAAAGAAAGGAAAAAAAACAGTTATAGCAATTTCCATTTTAGGAACTGGATGTCATCAATAAACACTCAAAAAAAAAAAAATCTCTTAAAATATTCTGCTGCAACAAACAGCTAAAACAAAAGCACCACTGTTCCTTACATGGATGAGCTCTTGGTCACACTGTCCTCTCTCATAAGCCACACAGGCCAGATGGGGGTCCCTCTTCTCGCAGTACTTGCCCACCACACGGCTGTCATAGTAGGGGTTCTCTCGGAGGAAGCGCTCAGGGTTGTTGTTGCTGTCGATGTAGATCTTAGCCAGGGCATTATGGGTAGCAGGTTCCTCACAGCCCTCGTGGATACGGGCCTCTAACCATGGCAGAAGCAGCTTCAGTCTGTCAAAGAGATCAAAGTAGTCAATTTTAGACCAATGCAAACCAGAATCAGATTAATTTAAGCCAAATCAGACCACAACAATATAAAACAATATTACTGGCCAATGTCAATATGATTATAGATATTTGACAATATTTGAATTATCTGCACATAATTGTGCTAATTTAGCAGATTAACAACAGAAGTGTTATTTATACATTTAGACCACCATTTAAAAGTGTTCATTCTCAAGTTACCATTCTAATATGATGATTTGATTCTTATTTAATTTATTCATTTTTTTCTTAAATATTAGCAATGTATCGGTCTAAACGGTGTAAACCAGAGCATGTGAGCGGAGCGGAGTGATTAACAACAGAAGTGTTATTTATACATTTAGACCACCATTTAAAAGTGTTCATTCTCAAGTTACCATTCTAATATGATGATTTGATTCTTATTTAATTTATTCATTTTTTCTTAAATATTAGCAATGTATCGGTCTAAACGGTGTAAACCAGAGCATGTGAGCGGAGCGGAGTGGGAGCGGAGTGGTAATATTTCCTTAAGAGCGCAGAGCGCCTTTCTGAAGATTCCGCTCCGCTCGCTCAACCCAGAATGCCGTTTGGTGATTTGCTTGTTCGA